CAGTCATAAATTAGAACACTTGCTAAGCAACTGGCCATTAAGCAAGTATTTGGTTTGCCAGTCACATGGTCATCTGGCCATGCCCACCCGGTCACGTGACCACCAAATCAAACCCAGCAGCAAGCCACGCCCACCCAGTCACATGACCACCAAGCCACACCCACAAATTAAGCCACACTCACAGAACCGGTTAAAACATTTGAATCCCACTCCTGCTCTACAGTAAGTGCTGAAGTTGATAGTATAAATTTTCTCAAATGAGTGTTATTGCTTAAAAATGGTCCTAATTCCAATAGCAAGGTGACTAATTTTATTCCAGCATTGGTATCAATTGTTGCTAAAGAAACTAATAGAGATAGAGCTCTAACATTGAACAGAATTATTGCCCAGAGAATCACAGAGTTTAAACCAATATTTTAACTCGGTTTCAATAATACCTGAACAGAACAAAATTCTAAAAGTTGGAATGGGATCAGTCATTTTTCCTCAAGCCTAAACATATGCTGCTTCTTCAGTCTCTCAACACAGAATTTCATTTCAGGCCCCCTTATTCCTTGTCACAATCTCTGAATCCGTTGCAATTTCTCTGTATCCTTCTTAAAGTTTTGTCCACAGAACTGAACGTAATGCATGAGGTTGGAACTAGTCAAAGCAAAATAAAATAGAATGATTACTTTTTGTGATTTGGAAATTACGCATGTGCTGATTCAGCTTAAAATTGCATTTATCTTTTTTGAAATTACATCATCCTGCTTGCTCAGATTCAACTGGTAATCAGTTACAATTCTAAGAATTATGAAGTCAGATATTCTCCTCCATTTCTTGTGATTTGATTAATTAAAAAAAATATTGTTTCTGGTACCCTTTCACATTACTTTCAATCCATTGCTGTAACATAACAAAATTATTTTAAATTTTATTTCTGACATTGAGTATATTATCACAATTTTGCATCATTTGCAAATTTGGTGACACCTCTTTTCACCTATTAATCAAATAATTAATAAAAATACTGAAAAGTAGAAGACCCAACACCAATCCTTATGGAATCCAATTTGATCTTCTGCTCAGATTTGATTAAGAACTAATGTTGTATACAGATAATCCTCAATTTACAACAGTTCACTTAGTGATTGTTCAAAGTTACATGATCACTGAAAAAAGGAACTTATGACCGTTTTTCACACTTAGGACTATTGTAGGATCCCCACGGTCATGAGATCAAAATTCAAACACTTGGCAACTGACTGACATTTATGTTGCAATGTCCTGGGATCGATCATGTGATTACCTTTTAGGATCTTCTGACTAGCAAAGTCAATGAGTAAATCAGATTCACTTAACAACCATATAAATAATTTAACAACTGCAATGATTCACTTAACAATTGTGGCGAGAGAGGTCGTAAAATGGGGTGTTCACTTAACAAATATCTTAGCAACGTAAATTTTGGGATTAATTGTTATCATAAATCAAGAATTACCTGTACTCTTTATTATGGTTTTTGAGTCAACTGTGTCATGTCACTAAAATGGCATACTAATTGGCATATCATGAATAATTTTGTGTCAAGTGGTTTGTTGAAGTCAAGACACATTAAATTTAGAGCCTTTTCAGGTCATTGTGACATATTATCTTAGATAACTCCATACTGACTTCTATAATCAATACTTTTTTCCTAGATTGTTGATCTTTCTGCTTTCCCTTTGTGAGGACATTTCTTTTCCTCCACTCATCTAGAAGTCAATTAGTTTTGCAGGACTTTACTAAAATAATATATAAGGATTCAGATAGGCCATTGTCCAGTTCCATCAATATTATGAGAGACAGTTCTGATCCTGTATATTTAAAACTCATTCAAAATAAAGAGGTATTTATTCCCTGACCATAATCTCAGTTCTTCCCTTTCATTTTGCTTTTTACAATATCCTGGGGGAATAAATACTCTTTTAATTGAGAATATCGAACCAAAATAGGAATTGAATAAGATAGTTATTGTGCCGCCTCTGCCCTCTAAAGAAGAAATTGTCAGCAAGGGAAATTGGGAATTACCTAGAAGGGCTATTCTTGGCACAGTTTGTCACCCAATAGATATCAAAATAATTAAAGTCTCCCATCACTGTGCCTCTTTGTGGGATTTGCAGTTGGGTTTTGGAATTCATTAATTCATTCAGTTTGCATGGCTCCCCATCTCAGAAAGTTACACTGAGCCAGGAGTGGACAATTGATTTTTCCAAGGGGCTACATGAGAAACTGGGGCTGTTGTGGAGGATTACCACTGCCCCACCCTCCCACACTGATGTGCTGTCCCCTGTTGATGCCCTAATGGCTCTGCTACCCCCATTCCAACTCTGATTCCTTGCTTCACACTGCCAACACCCCACCTCTGATACCATTGGCCAGACAGGGACAGCCAAAGGGCCATGCATCATGGTCTGCGGGCTGTAAAATGCCCAGGTCTGCTCAGGGCAGTGAACAAATTTAAATAAAATTGCAACAATGCAAAAAATAAAATATATAGCAGCCAAGAAAATATAGCCCATTATCACAAACATAACCAAGAAATTGGTGCCTGTAGAGAGCCAGGTTTTTAGGGCCTTACAAAGGCCAACAGGGCCAGATGATTCTTATCTCTGGAGGGAGAATGTTTCTTAGAGTGGGCATTACAATAGAAAAACCCTACCTTTCTGAACTAATGGGACCCAAAGCATCCCTATCCTGCCCCAGGTGAGCAACACTTCCACTTTTTACGATACCCATGTCTTTTTCTGAAATCCTTTATTTAGGATTTTCTTTCTTACCACCATAGTATTCCGTTGAAAGCATTCCCAGTCAAGGGTTCTTGTTGTGGCTAAGTACATTTTTTACCAGTCCTTTTGAAGTGCAACTAGTGTGGCATATCAATAGTCCATCATCAGGATAATTTAGATGTTAGCCCCAGAAACCAAGTGTGTCTTATTGATGCCATTATGAGTTATTGATTTGTAGTATTTTTCTTTTTCTTTCTAATCATTACCATGATTAGAAGGGAAGACAAGAATGCCACCTGAGCTCCCAAAGTCTTGAATTTCCTTCTACACCTTTTCAAAGTCTCTAGTAATACATATTGAGCTATTCTTTGCATTGTAATTTGTCTCCACAAGCAGGGAAGTATGATTGTAAATGGATATGACCATGTTGGAATTAGCCTATCAGAGATCAAGAGTTCTTTGCTCTTGTCAGATAGCGTGGCTCAAAAGCAGCATGTGTTTCCTTCAGTCTCTTACAGTAATGAATCACTATCAAGACTCTCTGTTTTGTAGGTTGATAAAGTATTTTCTTTGCCTTCCTCTTTGATCTTGAAAATATTCTTAGGGACTTCCCCTTAAACTCCATAAAATAAACACCTAGGACTACTCCCACTGTGCTTACTCAGTGAGCTAAAAACTGCTTCGGATCAGAACTACTCGTTCCTTCCCTGCTATGCATCTAAACTTTTTTTCCCCTGTGAGTCAAATACAACCTTTCCTAGAAACATTTTGTTGTTTAATGAGAAAGGTAATTTTAATTAATAATTTAGTGATTTAGTGGTTAAGGCACCAGGTTAGAAATCCACTTGCTTTGCTTCCATCTTCTGTGTAGTAGGGTAGACAAATGTGATGTAGTAGAGGAAAATTATCCTAAAGACATGCTCTTGACTCTTCTCTTCCATTGTCCAATGATCTCAGGATTCTTAGTTATAAAGTTTTCTGTATATTCAAAGTACCTATTGTGTCAGCTCACTAATGTAGGAGAGAAATGTGAATCACTTAGAATTCCTTTGTAGTCCTGTTCTTCAACAGAGAGGTTGAAAAAAATCAAGTCTTTTGCTGTCATAAATTACTGTAACTTCAATGAGAGCCTCATATTGATGTTTCGTATCTTTTTTAGCTGAGTAGCACTAAACTTTTATTTTGTATTAATGCAGGAAGATATCAAATCACTTACTGCCCATATTGTTGAAAACTTTTATAAGGCACTTGAATCTATTGAATATGTTCAAACATTCAAAGGCTTGAAGACAAAATATGAGCAGGAGAAAGACAGACAGAGCCAGAAACTGAACAGGTACACACCTTAAAACTAAAATCTGAAACCCAGTACTAAATAGTCTGTCTTGCTGTTTTCCTGAGCCGTTATTGTTTGTTACATTCATATTGTGATATGCACCTTTCATATAGGTATTATATCATATTTAGCAGTGCAATTTTTATTGTCTCAGGAATTTCTATATATAATCCATATCTGTCTCCAGTCCTTGTTTTAGAGATATTCTAATGCTCAGGGTTTTATTCTTAGTTAATTTGAAAAACTTATTTCCAAATATCTGAACAACCCAAACAATTCAGATTCATGCTGTCAGGAAGGATGTTGTGGATTATCCTTGGTTGGGTTCTGTTTTATGACTTTCAATAGTGCTCTGAAAGATGAACAGCTAAATTATTGAATGGTCCCCAGATACTAATTTTCCCCAGTCATATTAAGAATTGCATTTTGAAAACAACTTTGGGAATGTTTCTAGGGGCTCTAATCTTTACAGCTTACAAATAGCCTTAATGTGTCTGCATCCCCAATTCAAATTAAGATATTGTAGAAGATGGGGTGATAAATCAAGTGACAAATCTGGGATTTGTTATGGAAAGGGAATAGATATTAACTGTACCCCCTAGGATGTTCTTAAAGAGGACATTTGTTTACCCTGCTAGTTTGGGTACACCTTTGTTTGCATTTGGTTTTTCTTTTATTTGTATTAAGGTAACTTTCTATATTATCCTAGAATCTGTCATAAGCCATATTATTATCATTTTTAGGACTTAGTTCAGTATTTTAGATGTTAAAGCATATTTTCTAAGAAACATATTTTGACTATTTTAAGAGCATAATTTTGCTTATTATTCTCATCAACTATGAACTATCCATAAATCAAAATAAAACAGGCTCTGTCGTTCTAGAAAGAGAATGACTAGAAAAGATAGTCAAAAAAGAATTTAACAGATCTTGAAATCTTCCTATAATAAAGATAAAATATATCACAGCTTGATTTATTAAATCCAGATTATGTTTAATACAGAAAATGTGTGTTATGCTTCACCTGGCTATTAAGATCAGAAGGAAACTCATGAAACTCCATGTATTGCCCTCAACTTATTAAGAGAAGTCTAACATAATAGCAACATTAATAAAAACATAAACTCTGAAAACTTTACTAGTAATCTTTCCATACCATAACAAACAAATGGAATGTATATTTATCAGCCTTACCTGCAGTCACGTTATCAAATTGTAAAGGTTTTTTTTTTCTTTGTGTTACAGCGTCCCATCTATACTGCGTAGCAATAGGTTTCGTAGAGATGCCAGAACTTTGGACGAAGATGAAGAAATGTGGTTCAATGAAGATGAGGAGGAGGAAGGTGAAGCAATTGTACCACCTGTAGAGAAATCCAAGTCTGAGGATGATTTTCCAGAAAGTTATGAAAAGTTTATGGAAACAAAAAAAGGTAGTTTTTTCCTATTTTGTAGCCCATGGTATTTCTGTGTGACTCACAAGCAGTCCTTAACTTATGATTACAATTGGAAATATAATTTCCCTCATAAATTATTCAGTCATAACTCAAGTCAGATGATTTTATGACAGTTTTTATGATTATCATTAAGCAAATTCATCTTCTCCAATGGGAATCTTTCCTGAAAATCACAAAAAGGAACACAAATCATGGTCACATGAATGTAGGATGCTGCAGCTGGTCATAAGTGCAAGCCAGTTGTCAAGAACTTGAATTGTGATCCTGTGACGGGTGTGTGTGTGTGCAAACGTTATCAGTTTATTTATTTATTTAGCATATGGCAGATACGTGGACTTAAAGTGGTTCAAATGTTAACATCCAGTCCACCCAGCCATTCAAGGACAGGATGGTCTATGTTTAAGAAATCAAACATTGGGCTGGGTGTAAGCTCTTGATGGACATTCGGACACAATGTGATGGATATTTTGTTGAGGAGCATCACTGTCACATTGAGGCTAAAGACACGACCCCACTTAAACAATGAGTCCTGGCAGACACCATGTTGGGTACGGAAATATGTCAGTGTAAATATAAGTCAAAAGCTACTTTTTTAATGCTATTGTAACATTGAACTGTTGTTAAACAATCAATCATAAGTCAAGGACTATCTGTATCTTACAATATAACTTTTAAAACCTTCTAAATGGAGCTGACAGCCAGTTTAGTGCAGTGGTTAAGCTTAAGCTAGAAACCAGGAGATCATGAGTTCTAGCCCCACCTTAGGCAAAAGGCCAGTTGAGTGCTCTTGGGCTAGTTACTCTCTGTCAGCTCTAGGAAGGAGGCAATGTCAAACCATTTCTGAAAATCTTGCCAAGAAAACTAGCGACTAGGAGTCAATGCTGACTTGAAAGCACAAAAAATGATGGAACTACCAAGTCTTTTCAGATATTATCTCTGTAGATGAAATGAAGACAATCCATTCTGTTCAATCTTACTGAGTGGGCAAATACTACTTGGAGGAGATCATTAGGAATTTCAGGCTTGAAAGTATGGTTCATGAACAGCTTTAAAGATGAAATTCAACAATTTGATTTGAGGTCAAAAGTAACTTATAATCTCAAAACAGAGGTGTTATATGGGAACATTGGTGTATTCATTCAGGCTGCTGCACTCTGGACCAGCACTACTTTTCAGATAATCTTCAAAAGCACTCTCATGTGAAATGTATTGCAGTAATCCATCAAGTAGTAATAAAGACATGAGTGACAGTAATTCTTCAGTTCAAGGAAAATTCATAGTGGGCGCAAAGAATACGTATGTATCTTGGACATCAAATTTTGACCACATTCTTCTTGGGAGAAGATGTCATTCATCTCTCTAGAAATGGCAAACCCTTCAAATCCAGAGGCACACCAATTTAATATTTAAAGTAAATTTCTGAGATTGAGTGTAATCCTGTTCTGAATATCAGTCAAGCACCAAGGTAGCACTTTGACAGCTTTGTGTATTTGACCCAGGATGAAGATGTAGAGATGTTGATCCTGTCTAGCAACTTCACATAGCTGTTAAAGCATTGGAGAAATTGCTGAAACTAAAATGATCCCTTCAGGAAGGAAGTAATATAATAAAACAGAACTCCCTTGCAAGGTTATCCCCTTTTGTTGCTAATTATCAGATTTGCCAGGTATTTAAATCAAAAGAAGACTATCAACCTTTTGAGTCATCTTCCTTAAGGCAATAATTAAAGAGTGAAAGTATTCAACTAAGGTGGCTAGTCAACTGGCTAAAGAAAAATAACTGTATGTCATTATATGATCAACTGTGCATCTGAGCTGGTGCTTTATATATCAAATATTGATATATTTGTCTATGCTCAGGTAAGAAGTCAGCTCCTAAATAGGCAGTCTTGTTTTTAATAATAAAGATATTTAATGCCAAAATACGTTATATTCGGGACAGAATCCAAAAAAATGAAGATCACCTGTTGTTTTTCATCCTCAAAGTTGGGATTCCACTAATCATGAAATACTTTTTTTGTGCATTCAGTCCACAGTAGATATCTATAATAATAAATGTTCAATAAAACACTAATCTATTTTCCCTTTCAACTCTGCTTACAGGTTTCAATAGATCATCTCAATTTTTCAACCATTTGGGTTGATCATTTATTATAAATGAATCCCTGCTATTGAATAATAGCATTGGAAGGGGTTTGGAGGTCTAGTCCAACTCCCTGCTCAATCAGGAAACCCTATAACATTTCAGACACAGGATCGTCCAATCGTTTCTTAAAATCTCCAGTATTGCAGCATCCACAGCTTCTGGAGTCAAGTCTTTCCACGATTAATAGTTCTAACTATTAGGAAATTACACTTTAGTTCTAGGTTGCTTCTCTTCTTGATTAGTTTCCATGCATTGCTTCTTGTCCTGCCTTCAGGTGCTTTGGAGAATAGCTTGACTCCCTCTTCCTTGTGGCAGCCCCTGAGATATTGGAACGCTGCTATCATGTCACTCCTAGTTTTCATTAAACTAGACATACCTAATTCCTGTATGTTTTAGCCTCCGTCTAATCCAGGGGTGGGCAAACTTTTTGGCTCGGGGGCCTCATTGACTTTTAAAATTTGACAGACGGGCCACCACCTGGTGTTGAAATGCCTGTCATTACAAGTCAAAATCAAATGAATGCAATCATTCACATCAAACCTTAATTCTGTACCAATCTTCGGCGGGCCGGATTAAAAAGCCCAACGGGCCGGATGTGGCCCGCGGGCCGTAGTTTGCCCACCCCTGGTCTAATCATTTTTATTGCTCTTCTTTGCACTCTTTTTTTCTAGAGTCTCCACATTGAATTCATTTCCCATCATCTTACCTAAAAATAGTCAAAAAAAATTCTATCCCTTGTTTTGGAGGAAGAGGGTTTTTTGCTTCTTGTTTAATAAAGTTTACAGAATCCACTGGTGGGGAGAAATTAGTTTTATTGATATTTCACTAATTTCTTTTATAGATATTTCACTAAGTCAAAGAGGATAAGCAGTGTCTGATCTTAGACATCATCATTTTTTGCTTCTCTAGCAGATTCCTAATGAATATGTCATTGGACTTTATTAAAGTCTACTCTTATTTTTTTATTTTATTGTATTTATTTACCATCCATCTCATTTTGAAGCAATAAAAACATTAAAATAATCAGACATTTACTTGAACAGCCATTATACAGAGTGTTTCATTTCATGAAGTGCCTAATTTCATTACAAGTACTTCTTTACATCTTTATGACCGTTGTTCATTTTTACCAGATACTTGATGACAGCTTAGCATACATCTGTTTATCTTAGCTATTGAGTAATGGTCTCTTTTCTTAGTTGTATTGCTTCCATTTCCTTTTTATTATCTTTATCCATCTTGGCCAATTCTTTCTCTGAATTAATATGAAAAAAATACTAAATGCATTCCAAGGACTTCAGAAATGTTAAAGGACTTCAGGTTAGTTTCTGTCCTCTTGACAGAACGTAGTCTTTGCTAGCAGTAGTGGGTAATACAGTCTCAAAGGCATTCATTTCCATTGTTTCAATTATGAAGAAGGCTGAAACTGTGTAATATTTTTCCCATTTGCAAAATTAAAGTTGTGCTTTCTGTAATATAGGTTTATCTTTTGTCACATTTAAGATGTTTGTTTTGTAGTGGAAGGGCTTCTTTTTTATGTTCCTTTATATTGCATTAATTATTAATGGCTTGATGGAACTGCATTCAGACAAAGTTGCATGGGTTTTAGTATCTTTATGCAATTTTCTGTTCCATGTCTAGTAAGACATTCTCAAGAGCATTTTCTAATTCTTTATCTTGTGAAACTCTTTGGATTAATCTACCATATTTATTCATGTGAAAGGGTAAGTATCTTTGACCAGATAATGCATTTCTAATCATAATCAATAGATCGCAGTCACGATTTGATTCTGTAAGTCTTCTCCAGTTCTTTTTGTCATTTAAAAATGTTATACCTTGGATGTTTGAGGACCCATTGCATTTTATTTGACTGGGAAAAATAGATAAAAATATATTTAAAAAAATATACAATCCAGTTTCCTAATATGGTATCTTAATTACTGTGAAACTATGCTATGAAAGTGATTTGTTTACAACCATCAGTTTGTATGTATACATGTATGTACTGCATCTGTTCATTCATATGGCACAAACTTGGTTCCCTTTGCAAAATCATTGCATTGGAAACTAATAGCCACACCTTTTGGATGTTCATAGTTCACTGAGCATTCATGAAAGTAGTTGCCTTACTAGTGGTAATGTATGACTATGGAACCTGGACACTGAAAAAGATTAAAAGGATAAGACAACATAAAATAATAGAAATGGTTAGTAAGAACACAGTGGGTTTCAAGAAGAATCAATCAACCACTCCTAGACCAAATAAAAGTTGACTGTTTCCTTTATTGATGATCAGCCATGAGTAACATATTTTGAATAAATGATGTCTATTGAAGTAACCAGGAATTAAAATGAGTACATTGTGCTTGGCAAGATTAAGGAAAATAGAGAAATGAGAGGAAACTACCAATAGAGAATGTTGGTCTCATCATATCAGGAGTCATGTTCTGGTTTTATCACAAAAGTTCTAAGCATGTAGCTAGATGAAATGCACCCTTCCCACCCTTGCTAATATGCTATTTTGTTAAGAAAACAATGAACAGATTGAATTAATATATTTCATTTATCTCAGTGACTACTATAAACAAACTTTTTTTTTCTTTTAGCAAAAGAAAGTGAAGACAAAGAAAATCTCCCCAAAAGGACTTCCACAGGTGGCTTCAAATTTACATTTTCCCATTCTACCAGTGCAACTAATGGAGCAAATAGTACAAATAATAAATCTGTTGCAGCTCAGACATCACCAGCAAGTTCAAATGGTTCTTCTTCCAAGAATGCCAATTTGACTACAGCAGTCACAGCCACAAAGGTGAATTAAGCATGTGAAATAGAGCTTTGCAGTTTAAAATGTTAGTGATATGATAAGGACAATTACTGTGAACATCCATATATAACACTTTAAGAATCGGAGTGGGGATTTGTCAGTAGTATTCTATTACAATGTAATAATGACTTGCAGCCTGTACTGTTTTCAGCAAAGTCCAATTAGGTTTGACATGTTGTTGTATCCTGGATTTATGAGCTCATGAGTTGAAATGATTTTCTTAGTATGTTCCCCTAGGCATTTGGGTGGTATGGTTAGGCGAGTTCTGCTAAATAATGCTATCTTTTTAATTTAGGGTTTGTACTGATAACCACAGGCATTATGGTTGGTTTGTTAAATTATTTTTAATTCTTCTGCACTGCCAATATCACTTTTGTGAGATAGGCAGCCTTATAAATATTTAAATAAATACATATTGTTTTTATTCTTAGTCTTTTATAAAGTCTGGCAAGTTTAAACAAGCTGAAACACTTAAGATATAATACATAGACAATGTTAATTTATCTGTGTCTCTTAAAATGTTATTTTGGAAGTTATTTAATAAATTCAAAATGTACTATATAAAAGCCACGAAATGGCTACTTTGCCATATTGATATTCATAGGCATTAGGGTTGCTTCTAATGCTGGATTTTGTATATGCAGGAGAGTTCATGTTCACAGATGCAACTGTTATATCTACATTGTTTAAATTGTCCTAGTTTGAATATAGACAGCCTTAGACATGATAACCAGAATTGTAAATGAACATGTTGCTCTGCTGCATGAGAGTAAGATCATCTATACCCGTGATGGCGAACCTATGGCACGCAGAGCCATTTGTGCCGGCAAACTTACCTCACTGCGCATGCACGCACCTCCCAGCTGATTTTTGGCCTGTTTGAGGCCTTTTTCTGTATCCAGAAAAATAGGCCCATTTTGTCACTTCCTGTATTTCCGGAAATACCGGAAGTGACAAAATGGATCTATTTTTCGGGCTGCAGAAGCTTTCATCAAGCCTCTGGGAAGCCGAAAAAGGCCTTGAACGGCTGAAAATCAGCTGGGAGGTGCAGTGCAGGTAAGGGGGGGAGGGGGGATTGCGCGCGCATGTGCAGGGGGCATGGAGGGGCACATATTGCCTTCTGGGTGCTAGCACGCGAGCGCAAGTGTGCATATAATTTTTGGCACAGGAGCCCAAAAAGGTTAGCCACCACTGATCTGTACCATATTAGTTAGCCACAACAACCAAGACTTTCAAAGCCTCCTCTTAGTATTTTCCCCCAGTATTTTTTTTATCATGGCAATGTCATTTAACTATCATAGCTACTAGTCTCTGATCTCTTCTTCGAAAAGCTCTTCTAAAATCAATTCATTGAGTGATGGTTGGCACATTTTGTGGAAAACAAAATTTATAAAATGGGAAAATATTGAAGATATTTCTCCATTGGTTCACATGTTGACTCTTTATAACCAACAGGGAAGTTTAGTTGGCCTTGTGGATTATCCAGATGATGAAGAGGAAGAGGAAGAAGAAGAAACATCCCCAAGAAAAAGACCTCGTCTTGGCTCTTAAAAATGTTGAAACAAACTCTGATAGAGGGTGCTTAAATGCTATGACTGAACTAAATAGTCTGACTCAGAAAGCGTTCTCCCTGGAAAATACATGAGAATACAAGGAGTCGCAAACGAAAATCTACTAGAAAGGTTATGTTCTGAGAACACCCCGCTTCCAAAGAACCTAATCTCTTTCTAGTCAAGGAGTGTGCCATTCAGACTGTTAAAACGTTAAAACAGTGGATTAGTAATCAGCACCTGGAATGAAAGCTTGCCAGAAAAAATAGTCATCTTGGGTTCTGTGAGGGGATGGGGATGGGAGAAGAAATCTTGATATTGCAGGGTTTCCCCCGTTTGTAGCAAGCTAGAAGAAACTTGCAAGGCTTCAGTTGCAAACCTAGTAATATAACTTCGTAACGGTGCTGTCCATTGTGGGTTTTTTTAGCAATTGCCTCTTTTAAATAATGAATTCTCTTTCCATTAAAAAAAATCAGAATTGGGGACCACTGTTTGCACAGTCAGCCAAATTATAGAGGGTTGCACACTGCTACATAGTGCATGTTGAGTGGCAAACTGTTTATTTTTTTTTCCATTATTTTGGAAGGGAAAAAAAAAGAACCTGGGTTCTAAATGCAAGCAGACTAGAAGCTATCCAGGAAAATCATTCTATAGATCATCAGCTTTCCAGGAAAAAATCAACCCTCTAGAAACTATCAATAAACCTTGGTACTTGAAATGACAGTTGAATTGCAATTACTAGTAGCATTTTACAGAAATAACGTTGAATGGAATTGCTCCCTGCTAATTTCCAAAAATCTTTTCCTTCAGCCATCTACATTATACATTAGGAAAAGCAGAGTTGTGAAATGCTACCAGAAACTCTTGAATCTTATTTCAACAATATAATCTGGGGCAGCAGAGTTAATATGCAGCACTATAAACCTAAGGGGTTTAGCATAAAGCTGTTTCTTAAACACATTCCATGTATTTAAGCAAATATCTAAAAGTACACTAGGTGAATTGATGAAGGCAACCATTTTGATTTTTTTTTCCTTTCAGAGCAACTGAATTGTAAATATTTTAATGTTAGTTTGGCCATATATGATCTGAGATCATGCACACACAAAATTTCCTAAATTACAAATTGTGGTAAGAGTGATACAAATTGAAACCAGCAGGAATCCTCAGTTATTGGTCACTCTTACAATATGTCATGGGTCCATTTCTCCTGGAAATTTCATAGTTTTAATTTTAGCTATTGTTTGAAAAGATGGGCTGTCTGTAGATATGAAGTATAGTTTTTCCATGAAACAGAAGTTTATTTTGTATTGAGGGGGAAAAAAACCACTGTACTTGTTTTACACCATTTGTATACATGTGGTAATACTAATGCTGACCTGTAAAATTCAGGAATTAAAATGTGACCCTGTAATTCCATGATTAATGGTTTTTTTATTGTTTTATTGTTGTAAATGGTAAGTTAATTCAAATTTAGAGATGTGGCCATTTTAGTTTATTTTGATAGTGATTTGTACAATTTAATCTGAATCAAATCTAGCAGAAAAAGCAATGCTCTTAGATTTGATTCAGTGTGTTGTGATGACTGACAATATGGTCTGAAGGACATTTTTCTGCCCTTTAGGGGCTTCCAGGCAACCAACAATGGGGCTTTCCTTTTCCCTTTTTCAATTAAGACTTTGAAATTGTTACAGAAACAATTTGCATCAGCAGATTTTCTATGTTGACTTGCACTTCTTCATGTATTCTTGGCAAGTCTTTACCCCTCATAGAAGTAACTCTTTCCCATAAAACTGAATAGCAATCCATAGGAAAATAAAGGTGTGCCATTTCCTTGAAGTGATGTTCATTTGGTCTGGATCCAAACTATTTAATAAATCACTGAAAAAAGATCCAATACACATCTGGATCATTTTCTTTCATCCTATTTCAAAGACTATTAAAAATTTTAGAATACGCAGGTTCATTTAAGCTGCTTCAATACATGAGAAAAAAGTTGCTTTTTTATTTTAATATAAACAATAGGTGACTGTTCAGCCAATATCAACACACAGCAATGCTGTGAAAAATGCATTGAATTTCTCCCGTTTAAATTACGCAATCTAGCTCAGGTACATACTTCCACCTCAGTTCTTGTAGTCTGGTTTCTTTTTGCCACAAGACAGCCCACATTTCAAATGCCTGGGGTCCTTCAACTGAGTTTTTTTTTAAAAAAAAAAAAAGATGACATCTGCCAACATGTCTGAGTTAAATACTATTTTAATAAAAAGTTATATGAAATGTGGATGACCTGGTGTTTATATGTGTTACAAGAATGGAAAGTTTTCTTACTACCGAGGTAGAATTTTTAAGTTACTCGGACTAATGAAATATAAGCAATACTAGAAAATTGTTGGGCATAATTATGATTACAATGAAGTTGAATGGTATATCCAAAAAAATTAGTAATAGCCTAGACTCGTTTAAAAGGTTTGGAAATGCTAACACTTAACCTGATTAATCATGCTGTCATTTGTACAATGTATACTGAGCCTGATTCACACTATGACACAGTTTAAATCCAGACAAATTAGTTGATCTTAAATCAATGGGAATTGAGCCCAACAAATATAATCTAATTCCTATGAAATTTAAAGAGATACCTTGAGTACCATTTTTATGAATAGCAGTAAATCCTATGAGATACTAAAACTTTTTCTATTTGCTTATGGTAACAGACACAGTGGAGCACATGAGTGAGATCTCCTCAATTTTCAATTAGTGTGTGAACTGATGTTGCCCATGTAGGGAGATATTTTTCACATCTCTTGTTTAGGCTGATGAGGCCATTGTAAGACAAAACTTAAGTTTAGCCAATTCAATGTTTTAATAAAAGTATTTGACATCAACATTCGAAAAGTAATATTAAATCCAACAAAAGTACAACAGTGACCAGCCTGAT